TAAATTGTTAATTTGCTGTTATTGCTGAACGTGTAATCAAATTAGTTTATTGAAGTTATACTTCTTTAGGCGCGTTATGAAAACATGATGAGAGTGAAATTTTAAGATGCGCGCGCTTCACTGTAACACAAAAAATTAACAGCATGAAGTTGGTCGCTTTAGTTGACCAACTTCATGCTGTTACTTTTGTGTTTACCGCACATTAAGAAAATCTTCCAACAAAATAGAAATAGAATCTCTATTTTGTGGGTGCTAACGACTGCATTGTGAAGGCCTATCAAAAGTATTTATTAATCTGGAACAACAGAACCAAAGCGCGATTCAGGAGACTACAGCGCCATCTCTTGACCATTGGTGTAGTAGAACCAAAAACCACATCTTTATTTTTTGTAATAAAGTAACAAAAAGTATTTATTAATCTGGAACAACGGAACCAATGCGCGATTCAGGAAACTACAGCGCCATCTCTTGACCATTGGTGTAGTAGAACCAAAAACCACATCTTTATTTTTTGTAATAAAGTAACAGTTATAGGTATTCATATTTATAATATTTATCCACATGTTTCTAGTTTGTATATTCGGAATACGTGTTTGAGTTTCATACAAGTGCAAATCACATATGTTCTAATAAATTATATTCAGTAGCGATTTTAATTGAATATTTTGATTATTTATTTATTTTTTCAAATTAAAACTGAACTTTATTGACTGTGTCCTTTTCCAGACTTTTCATTAATTTATTGTAATTAATTATTTGCATGCAATTAAAAACTAATTTTAAACGATGCCAAAGAAGGATAACTTCTCACGCGCCTACATAAGTACACGCACCCATTTTTTTAACATAAAAAGTATTTCAGCAATGACTTAAACGGAAAACTTGAGTTTCCATTGAACTTTTTAAGAAAATATTTGTGTTTACCTCATTGTTTGTTATCGTATTAGGGTTTCAAGAGACACATCCGTCACCTCTGTTCCCTGTGTGTGCGCACCATACAAAACCAGTGGTGTGCGACGAACCACGACCTACAAGGCCACCGGACAGACTCGCCTTCATAAATCTTTAGATTATCTCACAATAAGACAGGTGTCATCTTCATATTCTGTACCTTTACGTAAATGACCTGAAATAGCAAAAAGGTTGGTCGACGTCACAGGAGACCGAAGAGCTGGCAGCTACCTCGGACAAAGAATTAGTCTAGCTATTCAAAGGGGGAACGCTGCCAGTATCTTTGGAACCTTGCCTAAAGGGACTCCTTTTAATGATGTATTTTAGTTATTATATATTTTAAGGTTTTTAGTTATAGGTGTCTTACTATTTGTTCTTTTGTTTAATGCTTAGTTAATAATAATACAATCATACATAAATGACCTGAAATATAAATTAATAAATTTTCATGATTTTTTGAATATGCTTCTTATATTATTGATTTATTAATGAATAACTAGCAAACCAGTGAACCAAATGTTCACAAAAAAAAATGTATTTAATTAATTGAGAACTTCGGAGATTTTGTGTGGTTTCGTTTGAAATAGAAATCACGTGATTTCTCGAAAACCGGAAGTGCTACGTTACTCACATCCGGTTTGTAGTCTTATCAGACTATTCTTAACTTATAACTTAAACATTCTCTATATCTATCTCTTACGGTTTGGCCGCTGAAACAGCACCACGGACGGACGGACGGACTTGTCTAATAGATAAGAGATGTTTGGTTAGTGTGCCCTAGCAAGAAGTATATAGTACTAAACTGGAAAGTCCCAAATTAGTATGTCTTATTAAATGTCTAGTGGAAACTTGAAATAAGGATAAGTAGAAATTATAATGTCGCTATCAAATATAGCATTGTGACAAAATGAGAATCTAAAATTTAGATATTACACTTTTTAATTGGTGGAGCTCGATGGCGTAAGTGGTTAGCTCGTTCGGCTGCGATCGTTGAAGTTAAGCAACTTTCGCAGTGGTCGGTCGTTGGATGGGTGACCAAAAATTACTATTTCGAGTCAGTCCGATGGCACGTTAAGCCGTTGTTCCCGGCTGGATCTTTAGTCGTTGGGTCCTAGCCCAATCTCCCTATTCCATCCTAAGGTGAGGCCTGTGCCCCAGGAGTGAGGACATTAATAGGCCGATGATGATGATGATGACTCTTATTGATATTATTCAAAAATACGATTTTATTTACAAATTTCGAGAACTTCACTTTAAAGAAGATTCTCATAGTTATGTTTTCTTTAGGTTACCTCAACTACCTTACCTCAAAGTTAAGTTTTCACGCAGATAACGTAATTTTTCGCGTTTTTATCAGGATCATCATCATTAGCCTATTAATGTCCCCACTGCTGGGGCACAGGCCTTCGCTATAGATGAAATAGGGAGATTTGACCCTGACCCACCACGCGGGCCCAGTGCGGATTGGTGGGTGCTAATGTCTGCAGATGCAGCCGGGACCAACGGCTTAACTTGCCTTCCGAAGTACGGAGGAGCTCGTGATAATTAATTTTTGGTAAACCATCCAAAGACCGACCACTGCGAAAGTTGCTTAACTTCAACGATTGCCGCCGAACGCGCTAACCGCTTGCACCATCGAGTTTTATCACGATGGCGTTTCTCAAATCCCGTATCAAAACACGTTTACACAAATACCTGGATATGACTGATTGAGTTCAAACCTCATAATCACTGGTGGACAATTGACGGATTAGTCGCTAAACAATACGCAAAAAGCAACATCACAATCAAATTCAGAAAGTCCTCTTTCTTGAAATGATATAAAATAATAAAAAAAAAAAAAAAAAACACAACTGCCGTTAACAAAATTGACTTTTAAGGAAAGGAAAGAAGAGAAAATATTTGGTATGTTCTCATTAAGAAATGATATCCCTCCTTTCAAATGATGAGAATGACTTTTTTTTTTGACATAAATCATTGTGATTTTGACGTTGCTGTTATTTAATTTTTAACAGTTTAGGTGACAGTATTTTTAATATAGGATATGTTACCCGGGATGGTGAAAGGATTCTAACGATCCACAAAAATAGTAATAACGTTAAATCTATCGAGTTTAGAAAATATACTTGTATTTTGTTGAATAATTTATGGAAATGCATTTGGATACTTAACCAAAGGGTTTCATGGGTCATATGAGCCATAGGTGTTTTGAATAATGTTTAATTTTCAATAACGTGGCTCCAATATACCTTAATAAGTAGGTTTTGGTGTCGCCGCACACGGGCCACACGCCACAGCCACAAACGCCGCCACGAGAAGCTAGAAACGGCTACTAAAGTGGCTGAAGCGCGCGACAGCGGCCGACTAAGGTAGAGAGAGAGGATGGGATATCGCGCGAGTGACGTGTGGCGGCGTATTGGTATCGGCGCATTAAGTGGCCGGTGCGGGCCACAAGAAGCTAGCAACGACGATTTGTAGCGTGTGGCGGCCACCGGCGTACCGTGTGTGGCGAGTCCATATAAAATGTATGTAAACTACAAGAAATATGCCGGTGGCGGCGTTTTGTGGTTGTGGTCGGTCGCCCGAGTGCGGCGACACTTAGCAAAGTAGACAAACGCATATTTGAAAACTTCTCTTCTTAGAATATAATCAAAGAGTAAATAAAAAAAAGAACAAAATATCACTGTCTTATTATTCTGAGTCACTGTCACCATAATAAAGTTAGATTTTAGATGAATTATTAATAGATTTTGATGTAAGTTTTATTGAACGTTTCAATTAGACGATAACACTATTTAGTTAGACTTGATTTAAACTAAGAATTTGAAGATAAGAATAAACACAAACCCGAGAGTTACCTTTTCGTACTTATAATTGAATTTATTCAAAGTTTAAAATGTTAAAAATAATTTGTAGCATCCTTCTTTAGTATACAACTTAGAAGTATCAATTATTCTGCGCAAAGTTTATTGAGTAACTCAAACTTTTTATCATTGCCCGCAGAATAATTGGTAAATTGCAATAATGTCTTTCGTGAATTGGTTTTAGTCAGTATAGTTATATTGTGTAGTTCTACTAGTATGACCAAACGGAGAAAATTATCCGGTAATTTCCACTATTAAAGTATGTAATATCAGTTGAACAACGTTTGATAGTAGAACAAGTAGGGAATTCAATAGAAACTAGCAAACCAGTGAACCAAATGTTCACCAAAACCTGAGTTCTCGAAAACCGGAAGTGTTACGTTACTCAAATCCGGTTTGTAGTCTTATCAGACTATTCTTAACTTATAACTTAAATATTCTCTTTATCTATCTCTTACGGTTTGGCCTCTGAAACAGCACCACAGACAGACAGACGGACGGACTTGTCTAATAGATAAGAGATAGTACAAGAGGGTATAGTAGAACTAAACGGTAGAACTATACAGATACAATCGTAAATTTTAAGAAATCACCAGACCGACTATAACTCCTAGAGCCATTTCGCCAATTAAACGCAATATTTGCTTTTTGATAGTATGCTGATAATGTAATTTTATTTACGGGATTGTTACCATGATCTTGTTTTTAGCGAGTTTCCGATATTTCGGCACTGTTACAAGCGCCATGATCACGAAGTAACTCGCGATCATGGCGCTTCCCGTAAATATCTTGTATTACTATAATGTTAGTGACCATGAAAGTTGAAAACAATATGTAGTCAGTAGTTGATAGATACTCAATTTATTTGATGTTATATGTGAAAGCGGATACGGATTCTGTTCTGAAACATCTGGTGCGTATGCGCATATAAATTTATCACATTAGTAATTTGTGATATCAACCCAAATCGAAGGCAGCTCTATCCTTCCATCTTACACTACAGAATAAAAGGAAGGAGTTAGAATACCCTAATAAATACTATACGAAAAGTAATGAAGATCCATTGAACATCTCCTGGTCGTTCACTCAAAGCGTCAACAGATCCACGAAATACATCGCATTAAATATTATTAGAAGAATTGGGTTTCAGGCTTGTTGTTTAGATGAAGCAATTTTGTTTTCCAGACGATGCTCAAGATCGGCGGTGGCGCCGTCCTCGTGGCGGCCATCATCGCTGTGTTCGTTGTGGCCACGCAGGGCCGCGACCCAGAATTAGAGGCCTTAGAACACGAGGGTAGAGAATACATATTGCAACTGGACAAAGCGTCAGGCCTAAGGAAGACCAGGGGCAACCTAGCTGAATGGAATTACACGGCTAATATCACTAAGGAAAATGAAGAAAAATGGGTTTGTTACCATTTCATTCTATGATTGTGGATAACAGTAATAGTATTCTACTTACATTATCTATCCTCTATTGTAGATGGAAAACAGTCAAGCATTCTCACAGAGACTTATAAATGAAGGAGGAATTTATAAAGGTCCCGCTAAATTTAACTTTGGTCAAAGTTGACACTTTCACTTTCTTTATATTATCAATATACTAAGATTTACATCACTTCGTCGAGCCTTTAATGTAATTGTAGTCTTTTGATATGCTCGTTGGTATTTCGGGTCACCCATCCAGTGAAAGAATTTAGCGAATGTACTACAGAATGCAGTCACTAATACTGCACCATCAAATTTTCGCGTCATCTCGTTCCTGGGTCATAGAGTAACTTAATATTTGTTTCACTTTAGTGAATATAAAAAAAGTTTATTTCTGAAGAATAATGCTTGTAACCGTACATGCGGCTTCTTCAATTGTAATTCTCATTAAACTTTTCAGATACAATTAAGGCTAGAGATATCGAAGCAGGATAAACTGGCGTGGGAGGAGACGAAAATGTACAAGTGGCAAGGCTTCCAGGACAACTCCCTGAAGAGAATGTTCAAGAAGTACAGCGAGTTGGGGGTGGCCGCGTTGCCCGATGACAAGTACAAGCAGCTTATGAGGTCTGTGTCAGGAATGGAGGCCAACTACGCCACATCGAAGATTTGCTCGTTCAAGGACAATGCCAAATGTGACTTGGCTTTGGAGCCTGGTAAGACCATACTTCAACTACTTCAGTGGGTAAATTATAAAATTGTATTCGCACTATACTTCAACTTGAGATCTGGAACCACAGACATAATTTTATGCATAAACATGCGATCTGCCCGGATTTGCACGGGAGCAAAAAATTGTTGACTTTTTAGTGGAATATATTTTTATTTATTTTGAGAAATGTATTATGAATTTTAGATTTTATGGACAAATTTTATTGACAATATTTGTAATCGTATTGGTAATACATCCTAAATAGAAGTTATTTTTATTTTTATAGGTTTTTAATTGACATTTGCTTATATTGACATTGTTTTTTCTTTTATTTATTTTTATTGACATTTATTGTCATTTTTATATAGTTTACAACATTGATATAATATTGTTAATAATTAATGTAATTTTATAAGAATTTATTATTAGCTTGAAAGGACGACTACACTATTGAATTAGGTATATACCTGTTATAATGGTGTAATGTATTTTGAATAAATAAAATAAAATAAATAAAAAATAAAATAAATAAATTAATGCATAAACAAGCAATCCGCCTGGCTTCACACGGGAGCAATTATACTAATTTAGCGATTGAGAAGTGTTTGGATTCGAATACAAAACATCATTCCCAATTCTGAATTTGTTGGTGCTTTTTGGATGTGTAATTTTTTCATACAAACTATGACAATAATGATAGAAAAATATCCATTTTGGTGCAGTCGTGCGGAAGTTATGCGCGTACATACATTATGGCGATTATTTTTTATTTATACAGTAGATATATGTACCTATAAGCACATACAAAATTGATTGGATTTCTCTTTTTCATTATAAAGATAAGTTAAACACATTCTCTAGCTATATTGGATATCAAACATACACGAAATGTTGCATAACCTGTTGTAAAAATGATCATTTATTTCTGACCTTAAAGTTTATATCGAGTTCAAACTAAATCTATTAAGAAAGGAGTGTACATAACCCAAAATTAAATCAAGTAGATATTACCTGAATCCTCAGATTTTTTGAGAGTAAAGGTTTAGACAGGTTCAGGTTTAAGGAGTTCGATGGCCCAGGTGGTTAACGCGTTCGGCTGCGAACGTTGAAGTTAAGCAACATTCGCAGTGGTCAGTCATTGGATGGGTGACCAAAAATCTTCTATCTCGAGTTGTTAGCACCCACCAATCCGCGTCAGGCCCGCGTGGTGGGTCATGGCCCAATCTCCTCATTCCATCCATAGGGAAGGCCAGCAGTGGGGACATTAATAGGCTGATGGTGATGATGATAAAAGGTTTAGAAGTAGTATGGGATATTTAAGGAAAAGCTAAAGCAGCGGTTACTTTAAGAAAATTAGAACTGGATTACACTGGTGTTATACAATCTATAATTAATTTGGTGACGTCAGATTTAACAATAAATGGTAAAACTTCTGTTACAGATATCACAGAAATTTTTGCAAAGAGCGTAGATCCTGAAGAACTGAAGCACACGTGGGTAGAATGGCATAAGGCAGCCGGCGCTAAAGCAAGAAACAACTTCACGCAGTACGTGCAACTCTACAATGAAGCAGCAAAACTTAACGGTATGGCTCACTCGTATTTCCATTTGAGCTCAAAAAATTACTGGCCTACGTACTAACCTGATATTTTTCTATAAGAAATAATCATTTAGAAGACCCACGTATTCGTATATTTTCTCTTCTAATGAAACCAAGTAATATCGTCGTAATTAACTAAAAAAAATGTTTAAGTCGATTTGTCGGTCTTTATTTTAATTTTAAATTAACCTGACACGGATTTGAGCATTGTTCTCAATACATTTGGAGTTACATTTGCATATTGACGGTACTAGAATCGAGGAATACTTTATTTAGTTTCGGTTTTTTTAAAGAACGAAGTCAAGCTTAACAATTTTGTAGTCATTGATATTCATTACAAGGAAATGTTTAAATAAAGAAAATACAATGAGCAATAGGTTAAGCGGCACTTAAATTATTTTCACTTCGTCGTGACCAAAGCTTTTTTTTATTATATTTTTTCGTATTTTGCTTTTCTCAAGTTTCTTTTTGTTTATCGTGTGCCTGTTTTATAATAAAATGTATTCTGGTCTGCCGGTTTTACTCTGAATTAATAATTTAGTGAGTTATACTTTTAGTATACTCTCTCTTTTAGATAAATTGCCTGGCTTAAAATACATTTCATATGGCATACCTAATGAAACATCAATAATATAACCATTTCTGTGTATTTCATCATAAAGCGCTTTGTACTGCAACTAATCATGGATGCATACGATTAATCTGTTCGCTTCTGCGTCTCAATAAAACAAGTCACGCACGGTGTATATTATGATTACATATTGATGTTATACTACTTTATAAGCAAGGTTAGGATATTACCTATACTTTCTAAATTATTTTAAGAAGCATAACATGTTTACCATGTTTTCACGATCAACAGTATTTGAGATATTGTTGTCTACAAAAACATAGGTAGTAACTATATTTTAACACTGAGGGTTATTACGTGAGACCCAGACTTGAATAATAAATGTTCAATCGCAATTTTTTCTACATCTTTAACATTTTTGCAATCGATAATTTTCAGACTATAAAGACGTAGCCGATTGGTGGCAGGCAGATTATGAGGTCCCGAATTTCGAAGAACAGTTGGCCAAACTCTGGGATAACGTGAAGCCCCTGTACCAACAGCTGCATGCTTATGTCAGAAAACGACTGAGGGATAAGTATGGTGATCACGTAGTTTCTGCTAAAGGCCCCATCCCTGCTCATCTTTTAGGTAAGAGTCCTTTTTACCTTTAAATTTTTTTGTTTAATGTTCTATCATAGGGAGTACAAATGTGGTCAAGTTTGATCAATTTATTAAATGCTTTAATCAGTAAGATATTATTCTTTTATCGGTGCAGTAGACAAATGACCATTTATTCTCAAAAAATCACAATTTTAGTTACAAGAAATTGATTTAGGGAAGGTAACATTTAAGGAAAACGGATAAATATTAGTAACGCGAGCAAAATGCATTTATTTTGTTCTTTAGAAACATACAAATTTTCCTTTAATGAGTTCATAACTATTGTAGAATATCCAATATATCGTGATATCACCTTCATAGAATAATAAGATAATAAAAATGATGTTATACTATGCACTTTATAAGATATAGTTAACAATGCAATGCTTTTAATGATTTCAGGCAATATGTGGGCACAGACGTGGAACAACATTGAATCATTCACCCGACCTTATCCGGACAAAAAGGAGATCGACATTACACAAGCAATGAAGGACCAGAAGTACACACCACTGAAAATGTTCCAAATGTCAGATGAGTTCTTTAGGTCGTTGAACCTGACGGCGATGCCGGAGAAGTTTTGGAATAACTCCATCATCGAGAAGCCGACTGATAGAGAAATAGTCTGCCATGCTTCTGCGTGGGACTTTTATGATGGAGAAGACTTTAGGTACCTAATAGTTTCAACTTGGAAACCGAAAATTGAGAAATGACTCCCGCTTTGATTGATTTCAGTAATTGATTCTATGATAAAGTCATTGCTTTTGAATTTTAGTGAATTTTTTAAGTGAAGAGTGTTCTTATAGTTCCTTTTCGAAAATAAAGCATAAGTTTATATGGTATCCAAAATAGCGACACTTGTTTGGAATATATAAAATATGTTTTTCCATGATCATGCTACTTGCAACAGTGCCGAAATATCGGGGATTCGCAAAAAATAATCATGGTAGCAAATGCCATCTGGCTATTTTAAATCCCTGTTTTCAATGAGCACAATGGTGTTTAGAACGTTTTCCATTGCCTATTGAATGTATTGTGCCTATGATATGTTTGTTTGCATTATTGTGGTGATGGAAATATTACTTAACATTTTTTCCAAATTTACTTTTTTTACATGTCTGGCTTTAAAATTTAAGGATCAAACAGTGCACCACTGTTGATTACGAATATTTCCAAACGACGCACCACGAAATGGGGCATGTACAATATTTCCTGCAGTATAAAGATCAACCGGTGATATTCAGGGACGGAGCGAACCCAGGTAAATTGTTGTTTTGTTTCTATAGGATCAAAATGTGTACCACGGTGACTGGAGAGCATTTGAGGACTGTACACCATGAGATGGGGCATGTTCAGTATTATTTGCAGTATAAAGAACAGCCGTTCGCATTCCGCGAGGGTGCTAACCCAGGTGATGGTTTTTATTCATGCTTGGGGTATTTCGTGTCTGTTATGTTTTTACAGGTTTCACTTTCAGCATATGGTTATATTTCTTCAAAAATACTTGTCTTGAGACGCTTCTTTGTATAAATGCTTTCAAACCTGTTAGTTTATAATTTTGATTACTGTGTAGTGTTTATTTCTAACATACTACAATCTTTGTGTCTTAAACTGTTTCGATGCTTTTAATACAGCTTCTTTCATCTTTGACTTGGTAAGAAATATAAATACACTACTAATAGATATCCCTTTAATATTTTAAAGGTATAAGCGTGGAGCAAATACGACTGAACTGATTTGGATGAAATTTGGTACACATATAATTGGATGGAGATAAAGGATACTTTTTCTCGCGGATAAATGATCGTTTTAAGTGCGATCCTCCAAAAACTTACTCATAACGCGGACGAAATCGCGGGTGAAAGCAAATGAATATATAGAAAAGTTTGTGATTTTGTTAGCTTTTTCTACAAACTAGAAATATAACATTTTTATCCATCGTAATATCAACAACGATTTCTTATTGCGTTAAATCATTGAAAACTCCTCAATAATGCCAATGCTTGACCATTTTACTAATATATTTCTTCTTACATTTTCAGGGTTTCACGAAGCTGTTGGTGATACGATAGCTTTGTCGGTATCGTCACCCAAGCATTTACGTAGCATCGGTCTCGTCAACGGAGATGCTGATGACGAGCAGACTGAAATCAACCAACTTTACAAAATGGTATGTTGTACACATTTTTTGATTGGCAATAAAATTTTTGCGTAGAAAATTCGGTATAGTTCATTTAGTCATCATCATCGTAAGCCTACTAATGGCCTGGGGTATAGGCCTTCCATATAAATGGTAGAGAGACGGGGCCTCGAAGGTGCAGATTGTTGGTTAGGTTAGGCAGATGATGACTGCAGATGCAGCTGAGACCAACGTTATTAAGTGCCTTCCGAAGCATGTAGGAGCTTAGATAATAAAATTTAGGTCAACCATCTTATAACTGTCTATTGAAACTTGCTTAACTTCCACGATTGCAGATCAAACACGCAAACCATTTAGGCCATCAAGCTCCTCACAGTATATTTTATAAACATCATTAGACTGTAAATGACGCCAGTATTGGGGCACAAGCCCCTTCAGAAATTGATTAACGGAGAAAGAACGGGTCAACCTTATGTGGCCCTTATGTGTGTGTGTGGTGTACGCCTGTAGACACGAGGACTGAAAGTTCATTAGTACATAGATGGCAAAGACCTCTATTTTCCAAAGTACCAGAGTAGCTCGAGATAGTAAAACTTTGATCACGTATCCGATGACCAGACAAGCACTTTGATTCTGTGACCTATGGCTTGTATAAAATGGTGTTATTCATATTTTTTTCCAATAAAGTGTCTTATATTTATTTTAAGTATTTAAGTGCTAGATTTATAAATGTAAAGAAATTATTTGACTAGAAAATAATCCACACGGTCCAGGAAGTTTTTCCATTATTCCTGATCTTTCGGATCCTATACAGGGTAAACTCAGAAGATAATGTTTACAAAATCGTCCTATTGGGTCATTTATAATATGATAAGCTCTATGCTTTATCAGTATATTATAACGTCAATAGCATCAGTAAAAATGACGTATGTTTCTTATTTCAGGGTATAGACAAAATAGTGTTCCTTCCCTTCGCATATACGTTGGACTTATTCCGTTACGGTGTGTTCCGTGGTACGACGCCTCCTGAAGACTATAATTGCCACTTCTGGAGATTAAGAGAAGCTCTGCAAGGAGTCGAGCCACCGGTCAACAGGACTGAGGAAGACTTCGATGCGGCTGCTAAGTACCATGTCTCGGCTAACGTTGAATATGCAAGGTGAGTCTACTTAATTTTGAAAACTAAAACGATCTAGATTAATGTATCTGTTATTGGGTATTTCATCTTCACTTTTAAAATGTGTTTTTTTCAAATATTATAAATTTAAAGAAAATCCAAAGAAAATTTAACTAGATTTTTTTTTCTAGTTATTTCTTTAGTTTTAAACATCAAGCAGTTACATGCTTTAAAATAATAAAAATTATATTATAAATTTGTCAATTAAATTGAGGTAAATATTTAATGGTCAATAATTATTAAAGAAAAGAAATTTAAAAAAATCTTATTTTTAGAGAGCTAAAGAAAATTATAGTGCGATTCAAACTTTATGGCCGATGGAAAGTTTGACTGGCATTAATTTTGAGTCACATTATAATTTTCTTTAGCTCTCCAAAGATAAGATTTTTTTAAATTTCTTTTCTTTAATAATTATTGACCATTAAATATATACCTTAATTTAATTGACAAATTTATAATATATTTTTTATTATTTTAAAGCATGTAACTGCTTGATGTTTAAATCTAAAGAAATAACTAGTTTTTTTTTCTAGTTATATTTTCTTTAGATTTTCTTTAAATTTATAATATTTGAAAAAACACATTTTAAAAGTGATGATTAAAGTGAAATACTCAGTTATTGCTATATTTTATTAAACTTGACAAAAGTAGTTGCTGGTTGTGTAAGAATGTAAACATTATTTAAAATGTAAATATAATATATATCGTTCAATTTAGTTTTACTCTCATTTTTATTATCCATTGAAAATAGTATCTCTTTCCTATTTATATTCGTGATATCACACTACCTATCCATAATCTTTTGAAATATTTTTCATCATTTTAACGAGAGTTACCCGACATCACACTACCGATATTCTGATAGTATTTGTTTCTTTTTCTTATTTCACCAAAGTATCATCCAAAAATTGTTTCATAGTCTCAATTCATTTACCTAATTGTGTCCTCAGGTACTACGTGTCGTTCATCATTCAGTTCCAATTCCACCGAGCGCTGTGCAACATCGCCGGCGAGTATGTGCCCGAGGACGTCACCAGGAAGCTGGTCGACTGCGACATTTATAGAAGTGTCGCCGCCGGCAACGCGTTAGCGTATGTACCTTTAACATTATTAGGATCTTTTGGGTCTTAACGGAATAAAACTAGTTTTTACGGGTTAGATGTACAGAATTTATTTATTTATAGACGTTTCGCAGCCTTTTCAGGTCTGCGTCGTTAAAGATCATCATCATCTTTATTCAAAGATTGAAATGAAGATTGAAACTGATAATCATTATTCGGACGACGCAGACCTGAAAAGGCTGCGAAACGTCAATAAATAAATAAATTCAGTATATCTAACCCGTAAAAACTACTTTTATTTGAGTGATGTGCGTGAAAACCTAACAAACAAATATCTAAACGGAATGCCTGAAGGACACTAGGGGCCCAAGCAGGAGTTTTTGACAGCTCCGTAAAGTATCATAATAGTCAAATTTTGTATTGTTTTGAAAAAGCTAGTGAGTTCTTGCGACCGATAGGAGCGCTTTTTAGATTTTATAGAAACTTTAACGATGCGATACGTTACGGAGCTGTCGAAAACTCGTGCTTGGACCTCTGTTTAGCTCTACGTTTATTGCTCTGAAAAGACTAGCCAGTGTAAAATTGCTCTGGCAAGACTAGTCTCATTAACTTTGGGGTACTTGTAAAAATTATGGAGATGTAGGGCAAAAATATGGAAATAATCTGAAGCTATTTTTTGAAGACATTACCAGGAAGCTGGTCATCTGCGATATTTATAGTGTCACAATCGGTAATGCACTAATAGCTGTTGAGAATTTTTGAGGCTAGTCTTTCCAGATCCAATTTATAAAAAACGCAAGGTGTACTAATAATAATCTTTGATATGTACATGAAATGGAAGCAATCGGAGTTTATTCTTTCCTTTCAAAAAAATCTGATATTATATCAGCCGCGTAACAGCCCCATAATCTATTGAGTAAAAGGATATTTTCTAAAATTTGAGATCACAAAAATTGAGACGTCAGTTCACTTTTAAGTTCTATCGAATTAGATGCTGTAATTTCGATGTCTTTAAAAAATACACAACATAATTTTCTTTAGTTTGTTTAAAGTCGATTAGCAAAATTATGATCAGATAACGATATCCGAAACGTCAGTAGTAATAGCAATAAATTATAAAATGTCGCTTTTTACCCGTTCCAAAAGTACGTCCGTTGATTACTAACCACGATTTCCATTAATGGCGTAGCTTCTCGACCTTTACAAGTGCTTGTTACAAGACTAGAGTGAATAAATTATTTTTTTATTGATTGATGTTTTGTAGGAATATGCTGAAGATGGGCTCGTCGAAGCCATGGCCGGATGCGATGGAGGCGCTCACGGGTCAGCGAGCCATGCGCGCCGACGGCCTGCTCGAGTACTTCCGCCCGCTGCACGACTGGCTGCTGGCTGAGAACCAGCGCACCGGCGAGCACATCGGTTGGGAGCCTAGTAAAATACGTACGTATACAAACAACTACTGATGGAAGACGTTTATTTCAGCGTGTGTTGATTGGCAACTCTCAGTGGCTCGATATGTTTGAGCAGAGAACTTATGCATAGTTACTTGTCAAAGCTTGAGTACTTCCGCCCGCTGCACGACTGGCTGCTGGCTGAGAACCAGCGCACCGGCGAGCACATCGGTTGGGAGCCTAGTAAAATACGTACGTATACAAACAACTTCTGATGGAAGATGTTTATTTCAGCGTGTGTTGATTGGCAACTCTCAGTGGCTCGGTATGTTTGAGCAGAGAACTTATGCATAGTTACTTGTCAAAGCTTGAGTACTTCCGCCCGCTGCACGATTGGCTGCTGGCTGAGAACCAGCGCACCGGCGAGCACATCGGCTGGGAGCCTAGTAAAATACGTACGTATACAAACAACTTCTGATGGAAGGCTTTTATTTCAGTGTATGTTGATTGGCGACTCTCAATGGCTCGGCATGTTTGAGGTGTGAACTTATGCACAGTTAATTGTAAAAGCTTGTGTACTTCCGCCCGCTGCACGAATGACTGCTGGCTGAGAACCAGCGCACTGGCGAGCATATCGGCTGGGAGCCTGGCAAAATACGTACGTATACTAAAAAATCCGATGGAAGACTTTTTTTTCAGCGTGGGTTGATTGGCGACATTCAGTGGTTCATTCATGTTTGAGTATGTTATCAAAAGTTTTAAGATAAAAACATCTTTTGCTGCAGGAGTGAGAGCAGCTGTTGACTGGCGACGCTGTGGTTCGGTAAAGCTATTACAAGCTACCGTGAGCTATGGTATCAAAATCATAAATAAGTTATGGTGGTCGCTTCATCATCATCATCATCATCAGCTTAATAGTGTCCCCACTGCAGGGGCACAGCCCTTCCCTATGGATGAAATAGGGAGATTGGGCCATGACCCTCCGCCGCCTTACCAACATCATAAAAAACCCCTTTTTAGTAACTTTTTCAACCACGGAATCGATAGACCAATAGAAGCGTCCATCTAAGTAAGTGGCTTTCACTTTACAGAAAATTGATCTTTAGTTTCATGTTCCGGCCGAGCGGAAAGGTTCCTAAAACTCGTCGAGATAGTTGATGAAACGAGGCTAGGTCCATAATGTATGGCGTTTAAGGGAGCGGCGCTTTTGAATTGCGTTCAATAGAGCGCCATATATTTTCTATTAACAGCGTCTCCGCGCTCTTAAGCCACTTGATATATAAGTTTCCTTAATCCAACCAATGCAAGCTGTCCCATTGGTTTATATGTAATAAAGAGATACCTTCCATTGTTCCAGAATATTGCACGAGCGAGCAACTAGCAGCGCTGAGTGCGAAGGAGGCGACCACGCACGCGCCGGCCTCTTGACTGCGCAGTACTTACCACACCTTAGGCTAATTCTAGATCAACAGTATTCCCTAATTAAATGTTTCTAGTACAAAAGCATTTCTGTGTTCTAAATGGTATTTCCTTATACCCAAATAATTTTAAATGATTCATCCGTGGTATAATGTAATTGCAGGAGAGTAACTCTGTTTGTATAACGTCGATATTTTCAAGGCAAGAGTGATTTAGGCAGGGCCGTAGCCACAGTTGTACTTTTTTTATTTTTTATAATATAATACAAACCCCGCTCAGTGGCAGGACTTTCTTATGCTTATGCTATAATACATTTTCTTTTCGTTATGTAATATTCTTTGCCTTTTAATTGTATTTTCAATTAATTACTTGTTTCTTGTTTTCTGTTTTTAACTATGTTCTTTTTGCTCTCTTATTAGTAATTATAAATATGCCACATTTTCTTTTCGTTTCCGTTATAATACTTTCCTCTTTTCCCTATCTACAATTTCATTTTAATTTCACATTTAATTTCTCATTCTTATCACTATTGTACTTTAATCCTTAAATATTTATACATTTAATAATTTAGTTTTGCTCATTTTTAATACACTATCTTTCTACATTTCTCTGTACTGTATACAACGATATTAAATACCCTAGATAGCCCAACACGAACAAAATCATGCCCGAAACCTGTCCAAATGGTACATTGGACAATCCACGGAGCTCCGTAAGATGATCGCGCAGTCTAAACAATAAAAGGTATTATTTAAACATTGAAAATCACCTTTAAAGCACACTACACGAGGTCTTAATTAAAATGCATGACTTATGACAGTCCGATATGTAAGCACGTAAAATTTTACGTCTTATTGCTATATGCGGAAGAATAAACCTTATTTCTTTGACTCTACGCGCAATCCTGAATGCACTGTTTGCAATTATAGTAGGTACGGACCGCGAAGAAAGGAGACAGCTATATTACCGACCATGTATTTGAATATCACAAATATTTTCTATTAAATCAGTTTATAGTAAGTATTAAAACAAAATTTGCTTCAAATGCGTTAAATTAACAAATATTGATTAGATGCCTGTCGAAAAAACGACATTTTACATACTTTAAGTATTTATTTCGCATTTTTTCACGGAGGTCAGCGGCATGTTGACTTTTTAACGATCCGCGCGTGACTGTGAACCAAGAAGTGCTTGAGTGGTGTCAAGCACTTCAAGCACTTTTTGATAGGGATACATTTTGAGCGCACGTAGTGTATCTAGGATATTTAATATCGTTGACTGTATATTCTTATTTCTTATAAAAAAAAAACTAAAATCAATATCATTTATTCAGTCTAGGCTGTTACAAGCACTTGTGAATGTCGAAAAGCTACGCCATCGGTTCGCAAATCTACGGCGGGAGACCTTGTACTGAGAAGAACCGGCAAGAAACTCAGCAAGGGCTGTTTTTTTCTCCCTGTATTATATATAGAGTCGTCAATTTGAAAAATGAGTTCAATATGAGATAACCCATGAAGTCACTTTCCATTACAAATGTAAATGATAAAACAATTATGACTATAAAATAAAAAATATAAAAAACAGATTTAAAAATGAAAAAAAGTTTAGGAATGCCGTGTCCCACTGTTTAGGCATAAAAACAAATGTACCATTAAAGTTAAATACAACGATTAATAGTACCCAATGTAGCAAGAGCAGACTCATCTCCGCTGGCAGCACCCGTTCACGAGCATGACGCATGAACCAGCCATCGCTTCGCTCAACCATTTTTTAGGGAACGTAACGACCCGCCTCACACGACACCGCCGAAGAGATTTTTAAGAGGGTATGACTACCCATAACCACATACGGATACTAGATAGCAAAATAGGGGAAAAAAATAAATTAAGTACCAGTGTACATTACTATAAAAAACTATAAACACAACTGTAGGACACATGCATGTGGTTACCTAAACACTAGTGTCGACTCTGCCACTACCCTCCAAACCCAAAACCAAACCCAACATCAGTGCCCCCCCTTCACTCTGTATAGAGAATAACAAGGATACACCGCTGCAAAACCAAAGTTCAGGTCTAGAGAACCATGCCAGAATCCACACCACCATTAAATCTTTATCTCAGAAATAATAAATGTTCACCTAAATTTTTTGTTTCTGATTGCTGTGCCATACAGTATAAATACAATTACAAATAAAATTTAACTTAAATAATTAATTATCATTATAATAATAATAAAGTAGTATAGAGCAGACTCATCTCCGCTGGCAGCACCCGTTCACGAGCATGACGCATGAACCAGCCATCGTTTCGCTCAACCATATTGTAGGGAACGCAACGACCCGCCTCACACGACACCGCCGAAGAGATTTTTAAGAGAGCATGACTACCCATAACCACTCAAACCAAGTAAAATAGTTACTTAGAATTCAGGTAATTTATCTGTACGACACTGCAAACAAATACAAAACAAATTTACAGTTACAGCCATGCAGTTTTGTCATTTAAGTGTTCTTTAATAGTATAATAGCCTTTCTTAAGTAAACAATTTTTAATGTGACACTTGAACTCATTTATGGGTAACTCAAGAATGGCATCAGGAATTTTATTATAAAAATGTATACCTTGACCCATAAAAGATCGGTAAACCTTCTGTAACCTGTAGGGTGGCAATGCAAGCTTATTTCTATTCCTTGTGTTAAAATTATGCACGTTACTGTTTTTGGTATACAAATTGATATTATTTTTAACGAGGAGTATACAATTGTAAATGAATTGAGAAGCAACAGTCAAAATGCCGATTTCTTTAAATTTTTCTCTAAGAGATGTTCGGCTACTCAATTGATAAATAGATCTCACAGCTCTTTTTTGTAGAATGAATATACTTTGATACTTTTTTGTATAATGAATATAATGTGTTTACTTACTAACTATATTGCCACAGTTGTCTTTAGGATAGGGCAGCTTTAATAACAGGTAGATCATTAGCAAAAATTGCAAAACCCCCAGTAGAATTTCCTTAACCATATTAAGTTTGCCCGTCCCCCTAGGCCCCTGGATTTAGGCATTGAATTTGAGTGTTGAAGTGTTCCAGAATAATCTGTATACTGAATTTGTAAAAGGGGCTTTTTTACATTTTTTGTAAAGTTTCAAGCCATATACAATTATACATAATCGGGAATATGCATGTTTTTTTATATACTTTTAATTAAGTAGTTTTCAACTCTATATACAACATAAAAATCTTTTATTAAACTATTTACACATCAATCTTCTTTTCCAACATAGTTTATTGTTACATATTTTATTGTCATTAACTTAACTTAAGTGCGCTTAATCCGAGGAACAACGATTTATTTATATAACTAAATTAATGGGTGCCTGCCTCTGTGTCTGCGTAGAAAATTAGATTCAAAACTTCCCCTTTTCATCCCTTAAAGCATAATTTTCGGGATGAAATCCTATGTCCTTCCATGGATCTCTATTTTATATGCCAAATTTCATCTTAATCAGATCAGTGGTTAAGGCGTAAAGAGGTAAGAGACAGACAGTCACACTTTCGTATTTATAATATTAGTATGGAAGAACACAAACGTTGTTTTCTCTAATTCTCACACACACGCACAGATACAACAAATAATACAAATAACAATGAATATAATAATAATGTAATTGATTGGTAATTAATTGTATTGTATTATTTATCATATTCTATTTAATTATACTGTAATTCTATAGTTCTACATATATATCCTTGGTAGTTTTCATAGATTTTTATTTTAGTACTTATCTTGTTTGAGTAGCTGTGTAACTGCAAACATAATGGAGTAGAGTTGAGAAGCTCAATGGCGCAAGTGGTTAGCGCGTTCGGCTGCGATCGTTGAAGTTAAACAACTTTCGCAGTGGTCGGTCATTGGATGGGTGACCAAAAATTTACTATCTCGAGCTCCTCCGTGCTTCGGAAGGCACGTTAAGCTGATGGTCCCGGCTGCATCTGCAGTCGTCAGCACTTAACAATTCACACTGGGCCCGCGCGGTGGGTCATGGCCCAATATCCCTATTCCATCCATAGGGAAGGCCTGTGCCCCAGCAGTGGGGACATTAATAGGGTGATGATGATATATTAACATTTTTTATTGGTATATTACTGTAGTTACAAATCTAATACATGTCGCGAGTAGCTGACGTTGGTTATTACATTGACTAAGTATATTTACTGCAGACATAATGAAGTAGACAGAAATTAAATAATATGTATTTTATTACTAAGTAGGTAACTAAATGTAACCCAGCTGAGTAACAATGTCTAGGACAACTGTTTAATCGAATGCGGTTTTTACATAAACCTGATATGCTACGCGCATTTAACTACCATATAAATGGAAAATTATCTGAACAAATATTGCTTATAATTGCAGAACCTACTTGAACATTTGGTTGTTACCTTACTCGTTGTGATTTAATCTTTACATTGCTGATGAAACAATCTATATTTATAATATTATAAAGCTGACGAGTTTGTTTGTTTCTTTAAATGCGTCAATCTTAGAAACTACTGTTACGTTTTCAAAATCTTATGACGGTAGGCACGCCCGCCATCCTAAAGAAAAAGGATCGGACTCAACGATACTAAATACCCTAGATACACCATGAGCGCTCAAAATGTGTCCCAATCAAGAAGTGCTTGAACACCACTCAAGCACTTCTTGGTTAACATTCACGCGCGGATCGTTGAAAAGTCAACACGCTTCACGTTTCACGCAGCTCCGAGAAAAATGCGAAAAAAATTCGTATAGTACCTTCGTAAAGGGTCGTTTTTTCGACAGGTATCTAAACAATGTTTGTTCAGTAAGCACATTTGAAGTAAATTTTGACCTAATATTTACTATAAACTGATTTAATATAAAATATTTGTGTATTTCAAATGCATGGTCGGTTATACGTCGCCATATAGCCGTCTCTTTCCCTCGCGATCCGCGCCTGCTATATTGCTAACAGCGCGTTCAGAAATGCGCGTAGAGTCAAAGAACTAAGGTCTAAATTCTTCCGCATATAGCAATAAATGATAATAATGGAGAGGCCTATGTACAGCAGTGGACTAGGATAGGCTGTTGATGATGATGATGATGATGATAGCAATAAGTCGTAAACTTTTACATGTTTGTATTTCGAACTGTCAGAAGTCCTTGACGCATGCGTTTTATTTAAGACGTTTTATACAGTATGTATTAAAGGTTACTTTCAATATTTAAATAATGCCTTATATTGATTTTGACTACGCGATCATCTTACCGGGCTCCGTGGATCGTTCAGTATACCTTTTGGACAGGTTTCGGGCACGGTTTTGTTCGTGTTGGTGTATCTAGGGTATTTAATATCGTTGGTCCCAATCAAGAAATGCTTGAACACCACTCAAGCATTTCTTGGTTTACATTCACGCGCGGACCGTTGAAAAGTGAACACGCTTCACGTTTCACG